GGTGAACGCGCACCGGGTGAGAATAGCCACAAGACTCGCCTGCACTATTCTCACTCCGGGTGAGAATAGAGGTGGCCTTAAAACAAACACTTGGCTAGCCACCACTCGGAGAACGAGCGACGCTTCTGTTGCAAGTTCATGTTGACGTCCCTGTTCTTGTTATTTTGTCAAATGAAACATGTAGAACACTCTTTTGTAGCTTTATCGGTTTTGATACTTTAATAGACCTTGTAATATACATATAAATTTATCAATGTTAATCGTATATATGGTCTCCTCTCTTCCACAGAAAGAAGAGAAGCAGCTGGATTCTTCATTGGATGACTTGATTCATCGTGTTCGAGAATTGAAGCAAAGTATTGCAAGCTTCATCTATAAGCTGGAGAATGATTACCAAAATATAACTTGGCAAGTTGTGTGTTTTAGGAAAAATGTCACCCTTATTCAGCATGTTAAGGGTTAGGAGCTGGGAAAGGGGTAGTGCTGAAACTGTCTGGGTCAGCTCAGTCAGTAGCCACTCTCCTACCCATAGCTGTAGCTGTATGTAGAATATATATATGTATTATAATATAGCCATTGTATTATATATCCCTACCTATGTAGACTCACTCCGATTCTTCTGTGACGTATACTTTTCCTTCACATCAGACACACACACACACATAAATGATATATTTATGCATTGCTGTCATTGCTATTTGGGAAGCTGAATGAAGACCAGTTTGTTTGGACTTTTCCATACTGTGGCTTTCAAGACTCCTGAGCTGTATGTGGGAGGGAATGGTACCAAAATGTATTCTAAAAGACATTATTTTGCAGCTTACTTTATATGCCTACTAATATTTGTACAATGTTTTGTTATGGGTGAGGCAAATCACCAGCTGATGATAGCCATGGAAGATATAAGGAAGAGACACTGCTTTTCCTATTTTTGTTATTGCTGGCGTTTGTCCATTTAGTTAATATCAAATTTTAACTATAGTCCTTTTACATAAAGTAAAATCCCGGTACCTTCATATGATTTAAATTATTTTGAATTTTAAGTAACTTGCTTTTTTGAAACAGTGACAATTCTTGTCTTGTTAATTTTTTTGTCATGCCAGTATGCCCACTCCTACATCTAAGCAATAAGAGCCTACATGAAGAGCAGGCTGTTCTGACCACTTCTTTTTAAAGCAAAGTCGAGATTGATGTTCAGATATATGACAATTAGGTGGTATATTTGTCCACTCCAGGCCAAGTCTTATGGAATCTTTTGGTGTGTTGTCTTCGGGGCTGAGCACGACCAAGCGTCTGCTGAAAACAGAGAAGATGCCATTATTGAGGAACTATGTGCTGTTCCCCATACTTCTCTCTCCGGACAGGGACCCGCATCTGGAGGTGAATAATTTATTTTCAAATATGTAAACTCAGTTACTAATGCTTGGGTTTAACAGGGCAAGGAAAGTCCCAAACTTGGATATAGCTGGAGAGATCGAGCGAGCTCTAGTTGTGGGGGAGGGGGGGTGGGGGGCTGTAGGCGAGCTCCAAACAGGCAGTCAGTGGTGCAGCATTGTGATTGGCCAGTCCAGTGATGAGTGAGAGGTGGAGCAGGCAGCAGAGAGGGATGGTGCAGAGAGACGCATTACGTGAGCCACTTTAAAAGTGATGTGCGATAAGTCTAGGCCTAGAGGCCAAAAAGTAAAAAAAGAGGAGAGCTTGTAGTGTGTGATTCCTGATTCATTGAATTGCGATGGTTGATGCTCAGGCGTACGCACACATCCACTTCACTGGTTCTACAGTAGCACTGATAGCTTAATGAAAGGCCACTGCTTTTTAACCGCTGTAAAAAAACTTTTTGCCTCAGATTTCAGGGTCTTTATGTTACAAATGTCGTAGCTTTATCATTAAGTTTTTTTGTAGAATGCTAACAATTGTTTGAAAAAATAGATAGATTGACTGAAATCTTAATTGGGATGTTGCTATTTTCAGAAATTAACAGAAGGACGTGTCCTTGCCTTTAATCATGAAGTGGTACCGGACTACCTCCGCACCAAACCTGAGCCAGAGGTGGAGGAAAAAGTGCAGTTGCTGAGTGTGAAGGCCTCTTCCATCACCCCAGAGATGGCACAGGTACTGTATAAAATGAGTTGTTTCTTCTCATACGCTGACACTGATAGCAGAATATCAAAGCACCACAAACATTCAACTTTCGTAGTCATAAACTATGATGATTTGTTTTATCTTTTTCTGCCACTGGTGGCATCCTTTGTTTGATGTACAGTTGAATTTGTCCAAAACAGACACTGGTTTGATATACAGTTGAATTTGTCCAAAAAGCCACTCAGTGTCGAGGAGAAAAGTAGTTGTCTTAAAAGACAGGTGGATGTCTTGGACAGTGTCGTTGTATTGTAAAATAAAAACACAAGGAGGAAAATTGGGAAGTGGTTGTTTGTACAGGTGACTGTCTTGAACATGTTGTCATAAGAGTATGTTCATCTGTAATTCAGAAGCCCGTTTCTGGAAATGTTGAATGTTAAAGCCTTTTCTTCTTTATGACTTCTTATTGACTCTAAAAAAATACTATGTCAACCTTTCTTTTTCTTTTCTACTGTTTAGCATGTTTTTAATGACATCCCTGTACTTACAACTCTAATAAAGGTCGGGTATAGAAAAAGACACAAGGAAAATGTAATGGAGATGAATTCTAGAAAGAAGGGAAAAAATAAACATTGGTGACAAACTCATCCCACAAATGAGTAACTGTAGAACAAACAAAAATGTTCTTCCATCATTAAAAATAAAAGGAGGAGGGGCAAGGTTTAACTTTGTTGAATTGAAAGGAATGACTTTTAAGCTTAAAGGGGCCATAAGAAAGCATGGGCGCTAGGTTCTGACGGTATTATTGAGCACCTAAGCAGTTTGCTTGTTTAACGAAGAAATATTATATATATTATATGCAATTTCCTTAATGTTGATATATATAGAGTGTTTCTTTTAATGCTCCTCAGAAACAACTAACCATGCTGAACAAAATCACCAGCAATGTTCTCGACCTCATCAATGCATCCAGTGACGTGTTGGACAAAGATTCTAGTAAGTTTCATCTGTTACCATCTGAGATTGAAAAGTAAGACTTAAACCCATAAGAAAGAGAGGTGTTGAGATGTGAAAATATGATGAGGACAGTCTTGGCGATCATTTAATAAATACCCTTTATGCTTTAGGGATATGCAGTTAAACCCTGTTATACCACCTACCTTTGGACGAGCATGAAGTTGGTGGTACAGTAGATACCAGAAACTAAAGTATCTGTATGCCAAATTTATCTGTTCCATATGAAAGGCCTTTGTCTCCTGAGAATTTTAGAACTGTACCATTCTTTTACCTGTCTGTCAATTTTTAAGAAAACGACAGCTGTTTTAATATAATCAAATATTGCTAAATTTGCTAAGTGTTTGACAGAGATAATAAAAGAGTACCAAAGGCACCAAATTATATCTCCACGTGAACAGAGTACAATCACAATAACATAGGAATGGAGTTTAATTTTTTTCAAGACGTGTGAGATCATTGCAGCAAATCACTATTTTATTGCGTCAAACACAACGATCTGTCATTATTTAGACAAACACACCGAGCATTGTCCCGGCCAGCGTCACGCCGGTCCCCGCGATGAGCAAGTCAACTCTGTACTGTAGTACCTTGAGTGTTCCTCGTGGTGGGGGGGGGGGCTTCACATTCCAACCACGAGGGGCAACACTTTTCAGGGCGATTCTCCAGCTCCAAATACTTGGATATATACAAATAACTTGGACCATTGTAACGAGGAGAAGCTGAATTTTTTCAAGGTGTACAGCATTTGATGTTTTATAATGTAAGAGCAAAGAAACAGCAATCTGAATTACCCCGATTTCACAGAAACCATGCGCTCGGAAGGCCACGAGGCTGTGTTCATGCAACCAAGGTACAACAGGGCTGGTGATATAACAGGATGGCGCCGATTGCCCTCTTGAGCTGTGGTAGACTAGTAGATACTTGAAACAAATTGTGGAAAGTCTTGACTCATCTAGAACTAGATCTGTCTTGCGCAGTTGCCATGCACAGGGGAAAAACGAGTAGCGACCGATTACAAGTACAGCACAGCTCCTGCTGAACTTAATGTAAAATCACATAGTGAAAATGATGATTAATGATATGTATGGAGTGGCAAACTGAAGAAAGAGATGGGGACAATTTGCCTTGTTGCGTGCTGAATTTTCTTGAGCAAAGTTCTGTGGAAGATTTGGAAGGATAGGAAAGGGAAAGTTCTGTTGCTGGTGAAGGCAAATGAAGTGGCTGAAAGTAGAACCTCCAGCAATGACTCTGGACCCTCTGCATCAACTTCCAGATACAGATCTAGATCTTGCTTAGGCAATAATAATTGTGATAGTTCAAGTACTGGTGAAACAGAAAGAGGCAGGGATATGGTGAGGAATGATGCAGGTAGGGGGTGACATAAGGGGACATGATGTGGTCAGAAGAAATCTGACAGTACTGGAAGTTAAAACTTATCAGATCTTTGGAGGATGCTGGACCAATCCATCAAACACTTCTAAGTTTAGTGGTACACTTCGTATATAAGTGAAGATACTTCAAACCGTTGGATTATGTTTATCGTAACGTAAAGATTTCCACGTCCCACTGATTTTATTTATATATGTGTGTGTTAGTGTTAAACTGCACATTTGTTTGACTGTGCCCCATTAATTACAAAAACTGCTTAAATGTTTTACACTTGTTTATTATTCACTCCGTAGGTCAGAAGAACGCTCTCCCTCAGACGTCCTCGGCCTCGGAGACCAATATGCTCATCGCCGCCGTCACAAAGGGTATGAGGCTGCGTCGACCCGAGCCACAAGTGCAGATGGGTGGTCCGCAGATGCCTGGCATGCCAGGGCCCCCACAGCCACAGCAACCCGCTCCACAGAAACCTCAGAGTGAGTGAACTGTTACTGACATATTCTCATCTGTGGCGTCGGTGGTCTATTGGGTTAGGGCTCTCGTACTCTCAACCGTAAGGTCATGGGTTCGAATCCCATCAGGGGCCTGTCGATATGTCCTTGGGAAAAGCCCTTTACATAAATTGTCCTCACTTCACCATGGCGAAAAGATCTTGTCAGTTCATTTATTGTGTTTTAATACATGCAATCCACAACTTACACTGTATGCTTCCTGGAAAGCTGAGAGTGTTCAAGAGTCTGCTGGGGTAATGATAGTTGTAAAGTGCATAGAGTATTCTGTAGAGTATGGATATATGCACTTTATAAAAATGCAATTGTTGTTTCTATTATCATTTCTGCCAAAGGCCAAAAAGTAAGAAGGCAGCAAGTGAGTTTTCTTGCATTAGGTGAAAGCACCGGTAAAGATTTTGTGGATAAGTTAATCTTTTTTTCACTCCCCTGCCGACATCAACTCATCTGTAGTCGACTGTAATGAAGACTAATGGATTCTCCTGTAAATATCGACTTGCTATTACTATTTTTAGTTAAGGTAATTGCAAGAGAATTTTAACTCATCAACTCTCGAAGTTGAAGAATAGATATAATGAACACATGGTGATTAAACTATGCTTCACACCAGTTGTTTTGTGCTGATGCAAGTGGTATAAAATGTGCCGTCCCTTCTCTTCTTCCCAAATATCACTCCTGCCCCAGACACAAATACGTAATCATGGTTCATTGCTTTCCATTGTCTGCCCATGTGATGTGCTCTTCGGCTGTCATTGTAATATGTGTGCACCACATGCCATGAAGGCAGCTAGGATTGGTTGAGTGTTTTAGTGTTAGTGTTAGTAGGCCAAATAGGTGTATCTTCACATCGCTTGTTCATTCTCATCCAGATTTTGTCATGGCAATTACACATAAAGGAAAGTGTATTACACTTGAGACCGAAGTAGCCATTATTGAGGCAGTTGATGGAAACATTAATATGAAGCCTCAGATATGTTGAGATTTCGATACAATCCAACATGAAGTAATTTGCTATCTGTTTTTTGTTTCCACGTGGCAGAATTTTTTGCTGTTTCGACAGCGCTCTTTTAGTATTAAATTTCAACCAGTGCTAGTACTAGTAGAAACAAGACTGCTCCAAACAACCCTGTCATGTTTGAATGGCTTTGCCATATTGTCGAGCAGCTGTTCAGATGTACTGTTGACTCCACTTCAGGCGCAGTTCGTCCATAGAGCACGGTTGTGCAGTGCCGCCCAAAATTTTTCAATGTTCTATTACGTAAAACACCCACAATAATCAAATAAATGAAGCTAGAAACTAACATTAGCCAAATATACCAAAACAAGGTCCTCACTGGCTGGCGCCATAACTGTCATTTCTGTGTCTATAGCGCCGTAAAACATCTGCTATGCCATGCCAAAGTCCATGCGCTTTAGCTAAACATAATAGGATATTCAACTGTGTAACCTGACCTATAAATCACTCTTGGGGATAACCCAAGCGATGACGACACTCGTTGCGAGTTTGGCGGTACATTAATATTAAATATTAATAACACGGCACATCTTAAATGTGCTCCTGCCGAACAGTGCCGAAACATAGCCCACAGTAGGTAGTCTAAAAATAGACGAGAAAGACCGTACATGCTATTCTTTGCCAATATTAGGCTATGTGAGCCCCGGAGCAATCCAGCGGAGTGCTCAAGTGAATTGTGATTGGTGACTCTGTGACCGTGAACCTGAAGGAGGTGAACGGGATCGTCCTATGAGTTGTGCCTTTGAATGGTTTTGTTGTGGAGTAGTGAAAGTTATTACTTGAGTGTTCAGTTCCAATACAGAATGAACGAAAGTGATGTTTAGCTAACAAACAAATTTAGTACTAGAAATCAAAACGACAAGTAAAAAGAATGAAAATAAAAGCACAAGGTCATCCCTCACCAACCCAAAGATCCTAAAATTATACACTGTCTCATTTACTATGGCCTTGACTATCTTCAGCATGCGATACCATAATTGTGCACGTCCACTTTTTAATCCCACGAGCTGCCCCTTCTCCACTTGTGTTGAACTTGCTTAAATTAAATCTCCTATTAAGTTGACTTTTTTCTCAGGTTCAAGCACCACTTCTTCTACAGTTCCCAACAGTTAATAAGTTGAACTTTGGATGAGTTGATTTTTTTTTTAACTCTCCCAATGACATCAACCCATCCGTAGTCGACTATACTTTACTTAGCCATCCGTAGTCGACTATACTTTACTTAAGTCCAAATTTTTAAAAATTGTATTTTTAATCATAGATCTAGTGGTAATGATTGCATGTGCTCAAGAAACATTTTGTCGAAATTTAAATTCTAAACGTTGGGAAAAAAAATCGGGAAAAGATACAAACTGTAGGTAGAATTGGTAAAAGAATGAAACAGTTTTTTCTCTCTCCTGAAAAATTTTGCTTTCTGGGTTTACAAATTAGAACAGTTGAACAGCTTGTTGACGATGTATCCTTTACTCCCATTTCCAGCCTAAGATAACGCTACACTTGTTCAAAGATCTCTTTTTCCTGGGGGGGGGGGGGTTTAGGTTGACTAGTTGTGCAGTTGTGTTACCATTTTCCATGTATGACAAGTTCTTAAATAAAAGGTTTTTTTGGTGGGTGGTTGGCAGGTGCCCTGGTGTGTTTTGCTCCTTCTTTCCAATCAAACATCTATCGTCCTGATCTCTCCTCATTCTTTTTTTGTGTTTGTTACTCTCTTGTAACACCTCTAATCTTCGGCACTTATATGACCATATTGTGTTGCAAGTGCTGTAAAACTTACTAAAACAAACAAAACTCTTGTTTGCATTTCAGTGCCAGGATCAGGTATTGGACGAATGCAAAGCACTGTCAAGACCAACATCAAAGCTGCAGCATCGTCACACCCTTATCAGAGACCATAGTGTATCAACGATATTTATATATATGTGTACATATATTTCATTTGAAGTGCTTGTTGGGGCCACATGTCGCCAAAACAAACCAATTTGTGGCTCAACGCGGTGGAATCAGGCTCTCGTCAATTTGGGGGCTTATGGAGTTATTGGTATTATCTTAAAGCTTGTCCATTTGCCTTGCTTTTGACAAAAACAATTTATCTATTTATCTTGGATACAGGTCAAGATATTTGCGACTGAAGGAGGAGGGGTGGCCTTGTTTCAGAGGTAAAATTAGCGAGAAAATGATCGCCAAAGTTGAGTTATTTCCTAAGCTTGTGAGCTAAAGGAAACTGAAAACTTACATCTCTTATGCCTTAAATCAACGTTTTTCAGCGCAATCCACACAGAAATGTGTTCTTAAATGGGCATGAAAGATGTTGAGCCAAAAAACAAAAATTTGATAAAAATTCCGAAACCTGTGGAAAAAGGCAAGTTCCTTCACTTTGATTATTTTGACGAGAGCCTGATTTCACCACACTGCCTCACATTTAGTTACTCTGACCTAGTTGAGTATCTGTCTTATTCAGTTCAGTTGTGTCTCTGTGTACAACTGTAGTTACATATAGCCTCGATGAGCACGGGGGATGGGTGGGATGGGGGCACTTATTCAGGCTGCATGCAGTGTAGAGCCAACTACTACTATATATATAAATTGAAGTGTTTATTGGGGCTACATCGTGTAATGTAGCCTGTTAAATGCCTGTATGTAAAATATGTCAATGTCACCCTTCTTCATTTTGTGTCATTTATGTAGTTATCATCTCATCATTGTCATTGATTAATAAAAGATGGTTTTCCTGGAATTTTTTGGGTTTTTTGGGGTTTTTTGGGGGCCATATTTCAGTTGAATTTTACAAATCAGTTCTAGGAATTTGAAAGCTTTATTACTTAATTAGATCAGTCCTCCACCCACTGATCGTCACAAGATATCTTAGGTCTTTAAATCACATGGTAAGGTATAGGTAAGTACCGTGGAACTTGGACTCAACAAAAACTCGGATTCGTGGGTGGTTGGCGGGTACTCTGGTGTGGTTTGCTCCTTCTTTCCTATCGAACATCTATCGTCCTGATCTCTCCTTCTTTTTTGTGTTTGTTACTCCCTTGTAACACCTCTAATCTTCGGCACTTGTATGACCTTATTGTGTTGCAAGTGCCGTAAAACACTTACTAAAACAAAAAACTCGGATTCAAATAAAGAAGTTGGATTCCCAGTGGGTTTTTTATTCATAGAAATCAAATAACTCGTATGTATTCAACGAAACATAAATGAGCTAGCTTGAAGGGTGAACAGCCCCTCTGACGTGGCTTAGCTCATTTTCTCCCGCAACGAGTCTTATTTGTTCCGGGAGACCATCCATGACACATTCACATACATCGTGAACCAGTATTTGCTTATGCTATTGTTTATATATATATATATATATCTCATGCGACCAATCAGCGGCCCTTTCTTACCAACACACGCGTTGGGAGCGCGCATACATGTCTTAGCATGTGTCAGGGTCGGACAGTCAGCCAGCATGCGTGTGATGTGTGACTCTGTGTATGTGTCTGGGGGTACAAGTGGTCAGGGCTTGGAACGTCAGTAGAGATCCAAAGATATCACAGGTTTTTTTTCCCTCTGCTACTGATTAATATTTCAATGATAAGCTTGTCTTAACATATGATAGATGTATGTATTGAACTGCGCCCTGGACTGTAGAATCAAACGTTGCCTTATGCTAGGCTCTACACAGCAACATAACTTGTTCGGCAAACAGTACAGATGAAAGAAAGATGACACAGGCATGCGTTGAAGGAATCGACCCTTTTGCACAGTGTTTGCGAGTTCAGTGTATTTTCCTGGAAATTTCCAGCATTTCTTTTGAAACTAAACTATGTTTGAGTTTGATTGAGAAAGTTGAATACATACAGTATTTTGCTCAGTGCCTACTTATTACTACTCTAATTATCTACACAAAAACTCTGTGTTTGCTATAAAATATCGAATACTCGGATTAACTAAATTGAAGGTCAGACCTGACGACTTCGTTGAATCGGAGTTCCACTGTACTACAGGGGAAACCATATAATGGGCCCGATAATACATTGTAACAGGGATTTTTTAAACCCCCGTTTTTCGTACTCTTTGTCTCCATTAAAAGTTATCGGCAATAAAAGGGTTTCATCGGAGCCCAACCGATTTTTGCAGGGACAAAGGCTGGTTAACAATGTGTAAAAAGTAAGAGAGAGAAAGAGAGAGTAACACAGTGAAGGAGCAAGCACATACAGCGGGTGAAGCGAGAGAGGGCTGCGATGTGCTGCAGACTTCGATTTAGCCCTAAGCTTTGCTACACGCAGGCGTAATGTGTCATGCGCAGGCCTATATATAACAGGACTTTTTCTCTGGTCCCACCATCCCTCTTATATCAGGTTTCCACTGCAGGTACTAGAGACTTGTTTGTTGGGTTCAACATTTTTAACAATTTCACAGGTGTGTGCCCAGATCTGGAACTGGAATCATGTGTGAAGATGTCTGTGAAAGAAGTCCTCTGAGACTAAGTAGGCTACTCTAAGTCTGATCAGTCTTAGAAAAATAAGAATGACTTGGTGTCTCCGATACATGTGTAGATCATGACTATGACAGATGCACAGGCTTGGATTATCATCCCCATCTGGGTTTCTTATGGAAGAAAAATGTGCCAAGATGCTTCATCAAGTGCTGTTTGCGGGGCAAGAAATGTCATGTCCAATTATGTCCTACTTAGACAGTGGGTGGTTGGCGGGTGCTCTGGTGTGGTTTGCTCCTTCTTTCCTATCAACATCTATCGTCCTCATCTCCCCTCCTTTTTTGTTGATATGTTACACACATCTATTCTTGGGCACTTATATGACCTTATTGTGTTGCAAGTGCTAAACTACTTAGGATTGGCCGAGCTGTTCTGTGCCAATTAGTACTATGCCGTTTGTCGTATGACTCGGGTCAAGACAAATGTTCATTTCCAGTCTAGCCTCTTGGACACTATTATTTATGAGGAACGTCATAAGACGATGTACCGGTACACCATATATACATGTACACAGCGGCAATAGAAACTTTCCACTTTGGAGAAAGGCCTGTATTGTGCTTATTATTGAACATTTAAAAACAAAAATTGACACAAATATTTCAAAGTATGTTAATTACCTTTTGTTTCTTGATCATGCCTCATGTGGTGGCACAGTGTTAAGCACAAACTGGTACCCCTTGATTTCAAAATTTCACTTCTGTAATGGGCATTGTCGCTCCTTGCAATGATGCAAGCTTGGCATGTTCTAGTCAGATCTAGTCTGGGGTTGTTTTTTTTAGCTGACGCAGCTATGGCTGGGCTGGTTACTTTTTGAACTTTTATGAGATGTGGCAAGGAGATCATAATGATTACCTTTTCATACATTCAGGGCACGAAATTCTGCTTTCATTGTACGGACTGGAAAAAAATATAATTTATTAGCATCTTGAGTTACTTTATATTTATAATACATGTAATAATAATTCACTAGACATTGAAGTTGGTCAATTAATCACATGGTGACTGGTCTTGCCAGACCGAGATTGGAAAGAAAAATCAATACGGAAAAAAATCCAGTTTGAAGCAATTGCTATACTTTTGTACTACTGAATGTAGTATGAGCACCAACGATCGCAATTCAAACTCAATGAATCAGGAATCACACACACCACTACGTTCTCCTCGTCTTTTACTTTTTGGCCTAGCCTAGGCCTGTGGCATTTTCACTTTCATGACTCATACTGACCGTCTAAGCTATGGCACATGATCACTTTCGGAGAGGCTCACGTAGAGCATCTCTAGCTCTCTGCACCATCTCTTTCTGCCCCCTGCCCCATCTCACTCATCACTGGACTGGACTGGCCAATCACAACGCCACACCACTGACTGCCTGTTTGGAGCCCGCCAACAGTACAGCCTAGTCCCCCAAACCCCTTCCCCCGGCTAGAGCTTGCTTGCTCGATCTGTCTCGCTGTATCTGAGTTCGGGTCTCTCCTTCCCCTGCTGAACTCGAGCACAGGTATTGATTTTAAAGACAAAAAAAGGGGGATTACGGTAAGGTCCTGCTGTAAATGGTGCCGCTATAGTCATGTTCTACAGTATACATATATATATATAATCTCACTATGTTCAGACAGAAGCCCGGCATCCTCCCTGCCATTGAAAGTGAAAGGAGTTGACAGTTGTCAGTCTAGTTGGCTTTACTTTTTCATCTTTTTGCCGTTAAGCATCGAGGGGAGATGCAGTTTTCTATGGTAGGCCAGCTCCGCAGCTCTTTCAGTTGTGATATTGTTTTCTCAGGGTTTCCTTGACACCCTCAATCCACCTTTTGCATGCCCTTCCTCTTCTTTAGTATAGCCTGAGTGCTTGGTGTAGTAGGCCCTCGAGGCTGGTTGGCCAGATGACATACGTAACAGGTGGCCAAACAATTTTATTCTGCCTTTCTACTTTCTATGTACATGTAAGGCAGCCAGGACTCAATGCCGATAGCTGCTCTTACTTCTTCATTTCTCTGCCTGTCTCGTCTTGTGGTGTTAAGGGTTTTGCGGAGACATTAATTCATTTCACATGCAGTGCTTTTGCTTTCATGGGTTTTACTTAATGTCAAGGTCTGGCGCTGGTAGCATAATGTTGGATTGAATATTGAGGTGATAAGCTGTCTGTTCGTGTCTATGGAGATGTTTGGGCGAGAGCTGGTAGTAGTGGTAGTGATAGGTGACAGCATTGGCTTTTTGGGTTAACATTCTATTTCTGTGTCTATGGAACTGTTTTCATAAAAAGTACTCTAAGATATTTCAACTCCTTCACCTGTTCCAGTTGTTTACAATTGTTTCGGCTCACTTTCATAACTTAGGCTTTACTGTAGGCCATAAAATTCATTCCGCCAAGTCCTGTGTTATTTATGTAGAAAGTGCAGCCCGGCTAATTAAAAAAAATTTCGGACACATTTTATTGTTGAAAAGGTTACCTTATAAACGTAATGTCATACTCATACTCCTGATCAAATTTGGTATGAAAACAAACCAAACATGATAGAATTTGACATAAGTCAATTCCCAAGAAATTGCAAAAAATGATTAGCTGCATGGTGGGTGACCTCGGTTCGCCTCAAGCAAAAAAAGGCACTTCAACCAACATGTGTGCTGATCAGTGCTATGAACTTGATGGCTCAAAGTCAGCTATTGTCTGTTAAACGGACAAATGGATGGGGATCTTTTGGTCTAAATGCGCATAAACATTCTAAACTGTTAATGAATGGCATCACAGCGATCAAATAAAGGAAAAAAAGAAGAGCCAGTCTTCCAACAGGGAAGATTTTCCCTCAATTTGGTGTTTGGATGTCCCAAGAATAGTACACTAGACTGCTTTGCTTGCAAGCGGACCTCACCAGATACTGGTGATGATATACAAGTAAAATTTTTAATCAATCTACAGTATAACCCGGATAGGTAGAACACAGATTACTTGAAATCACGCATCCGTCGAACTGTGCCTGCGGTCCCGGTTTTTCCCCCCTTTATCTTTGTAAGAAAATTACACAAAGCTCGAACACAAAGACGGAAAAGTCGAACTAATTACGCTGCCGTATAGGTCTAAAGTCATTGTCCTTAGAGGTGCACTTGAGACAGTATAATCAATAATGATAAATTGGGAAAAAAGCAAGGTCGGTAAAATACCCCTCCCCAACTCCACAGAATAAGCTAGCTGTGCTATTTTTAGCGCGCTGCTCGACACGCGTGCCCTCTGCGCATGCCTGGGTCCTAGGACTTGCTAGGCTTGTGTGGAGCGAGCGAGAGGAGGGGTTGTGCATCACACGAAAAGCACCGTTCAATTGGTGCAGACTAATGACTGCTCATACTGCAAACTGACCCACGCAATTAAACTGTCTTGGTACCGGTAGGCTCATTACAGATCGAACTCGAAAGCCTAGCTCATCATGTTTCTCCTTCTCAATTTGTCCATTTCAAATTCAAGTCAATAGGCATAGATCTAACCTGTCAAATCTAGGACATTGGCCGAAAAAAGAAAAATCTCTTGTTCCGACCCAATCTTTGTTGCTTCCCTTGATTCTCCGACACAGCCAGAGCGAGGCCAGTCCCGACGTATTCGAGCTATCCCTGCTATAAGTTATAGGCATACTGTATTTCATTTGCAATTATCCAGGTACATGAAACTTATAAAAATGAGAAAAAAAGAGAAGCATGAGAAAAAGTTGAACAACGAACTTATCAAATACTTTATTCCTGTCACTTTTCAGTCAGGTGTGGAAATTTCAGAACAAAGATTGCATGGATTTTGTTGGATCAATGACCCATTTCTAATCAGATTATAAACAAACAATGGTTTAGTATTTCGAAACCAGTGACAAGAAATAAGAGACAATACATGAAATGGAAAGAACCTCACATACAATTTTAAAAAATAACCCAAATTCACAATGAACCTTCCTTTATAATCATTTCCTTACAGTGGTCCCTCCCACGCTGACCTATCCCAAATAAATCATACACAGGAGGTGTCATTCAAACTGCTGGGAGGTCAGAAAGCCTCAGCTGTTACTTTAAAAAAAAAAAAAAGGGGGGGGGGGGGGGGGAATGAAACATGCTCGCTCCCTACCTGTTAATGATAAAACCAGGCAAATCCACTGTACAAAAAACAATGGAAGTTGTTCACGGCAAGAGATGGTCAAAAAGAGATAAATCTCAAGCCAATTGGGCGGACCACTGTATAACCAAATACATTAAATTACAAAGAAAAGACTACCAAACCTACATCTAATTCAACTTACATGATTACATGTATCTGGATTGGGAGGAAAGGGGAAATGCATAGAGCCTTGGATGAACACCAACATGTAAAAAGTCATTAACTAAATCAAAACTCTACATTAACTTTTGACAATGCTGCTAATTTAGGAACTGGAATCAAAAGAATAAAAATTGAACATGCATCATCCCAGTCTTCCTTCTCTTCACTAGATCTAACTGGTAGGTTGGACAAGTTTGTTTTTTAAAAATATAAATGCGAAGGTCCCCCCACTGTAAAGGACCCCCCCAAGTACTATGTAAAAGTATAAGCAAAATGAACAACAAAATATGATTCATACTTACAAAAAAATGCTCATGGATGCTGAAATGTCTGAAAGGTTCCTGCCACTGAAATTATAGATGGGGGCTGATACAGCCAATACTGTGCAGTCTAAACTTCCAGCAATGACATGGGACACTGCAGGACCGAGTCTAATAATTTAGGACCATACATGCTATGTACAGGGCAAAGACTATCAAACTAACCACGGTTCTCAAACTCAAATCTATCTCATAGCCTAATTATTCATTACTCCTCAACTTTCTAAATATATATGAATGTCTGGGGAAAAAATGTGGGACATGTTTTTTTTAAAAACAAACATGGCTTGTTCATCAACATGTCTTCACCACAACATAAAACAGAATTATGCGAAATCTTCACTACATAAGGCAAAGCTCAGAACTCTTAAAAAAAAAAAAAAAAAGAGGAAATTTGTTGTAGTTTTCAATTTTAACTTCTGTCCACGCTCAAGACGACAAATCTGGGAACTGGGCCTTAGGTCACGACTGGAAGAACCAAAACATATATTAAAAAAGATCTGTTTTTAATATATATTAATTTCCAGAGGAAATACATATGCTGCTATGAACTGTTTCAATAGAAGTAAGGACAGAGTCGTGTTTGCTTGTTACTGAAAATATCCAAACCAAAATCTTCCTCTTCGCATGAAACATCAGACGAAGAGCAAAGTCTTCACGTCATGCGCAAATTTGGTATTAAGGCTCAAATCTAGGATAGATCTTAAATTCATTGCTAGAAAAGATTCTGAAAACATTGATAGCAAGTGCATACTGCTATTTCTTTATGCCATTTTCTTTGTTACCAGAGTCACAAGAGGTAATTGTAAGTGAATCAGTGTGGATACAGCTTGAGATGCGTTATAGTTTAGTAACCGTGCTGATATATTTAGTAAGGGAAAATAAAACGGTAACATTATTGACCTGGTTTCTTCAATATGTCACATTCCTATACAACTGAAAGAAAAGCTTTCTTTTAATCCTTTAGTTCATAATGTATGAAGTCAAGTCATTTTCTCTTCATAGCTCCTTGAAAGAGTATATTTCCCACATAAAAACACAAAACAAAAAGTAAAACGCTACAGAGGTCAAGGTCAGAGGAAAACGAGTATAATTCTTTTCACTCTACATGTTCTGGTAGAGCCATCGAGCTTTGAAAAAACAAACCGCCAGAGGACATATGGGATTGTTTCTAACTCAATCCCTCCAAAGGCCCAGTTCTAAAAATTACCCTTTTATCCCCTACGAGAAGGGGCATAGCTCTGTACAAACTTGAACAATATCTTATAAAAATTGTCTACAAAAGTCACCACACATGATAAACATATCAAATAAACAGCAAAACATAGACAAAAATTTTTAATTTTAATTGTAATTGCAGTCAACATTTCTAGGTCAATCCCTACTATTTTCTGGTTTGTCAAGGATGGTCCAGTGATCAGTTCTAGTCATTTCTCTTCATATTTTCCTTTGTCTTTGCCTTCCAACTCAACAACTTGATCTAACTCTAAATCCTCATCGATGTCCGATTTCTCCTTCTGACAAGGGATTAGTCCCTAGTTTCTTTAATCCTTCCTTTCACTGTTATGATAACCATAGACGATCAGCATTACAGAAGAGATCAGTAATATCAAGATTCCAGCTCGACTTGGGGAGAAAAGTTCAAGATATCGATGACAAAAGCGTCTCATTCGAATTATTATCAACTTCTTCTTAGTAGTCCAAAGGCAAATCTAAAAATTGTCTGCAGAAACCAGAAGATCTTGCCAAACTAAATACCATTTCTAATTGAATGGTCACAGCAGGATTCATGCAGCAGCCAACTAATGTCAATACTGACAGGAATGGGTAGAAAATGTTTTCGGGGACTACACAAAATGAAAACATTTGAAATTCCTCCACATAACATAATTTTAACCCCCTGACACTTAGAAGGTTGAAAAATACAAAAGATAACATTGAGGTCCCTTACTTTTCTTTCTTCGACTCATTTACATTTCAATCACTGCCGATAGATAAGGAATAAGCAACTTCTGAGTAACATCCAAACAGCAACGAGCTGCCAAACTAGGCCCGAAACAACAATTGCAGGACATCTAGTCCAACTGTTCTGTCCTCCAATGAGACTTGTTTATACCAAGGCAGTAGTAGCGTTCACGTGGAGGATCTGGAAAATGAGGTCCAGTGGCGCAAGCCTAAAAGCCATCTGAGGTTTCTACACAGTGTACGATATAGCTGATGCTGAAGAGGGAGGAGGGGGGAAGAATCTGACACCACACAAGCTAGGATGTGTCCGATTTGGGCGACTGGATGACCAAGTTTCCGGGCATTACGTAGTCTCCAATCATGAACTGATTGCTGATTGGGAAGTGATTGGTTGCCCCTGTGATGACATTCTGGGGAAAAGAGAAAGAAGAAAAAAATGTAATATACCTGAGATATTCAAGCCATCTCTTGACCCAATACAAAAAGTGGGCATCCCTTAGGCATAAAACAACACCTGTTTCGAAAAGCACCATAGAGTCAAGCTGAGACAAAAAAACAAACAAAAAAAAGCAGCATTTCATTAGTGATCAACAAACTCATAACTTTTATCTAACATCAGAAAAGATCTACAATAGTGCAAATAAGACATATTTCCCATGCATTTCTTCACTTGAACATTGCAGTCTAATTTCTCAAAGCCATCTTAGACAGTGTAGCTGAAACATGCCAAAATCAGGCTTAGTACGAGCTTGGCTGTCAAGTAGAAACAATTTCAATACAACCGTCAAACACGCCTCGCACCTTTCCCAAACTCAGAGACCTCACTTTCGGTCAGAAAACCTTTTTTTTTTTTGGGGGGGGGTTTGAGGGCACATCCCCCAAAATATAAGAAAATGTCAACTTGAGCTGAAAAATTACAGAATGATGTACAGGTCTGGATAATCTTACAAACAAGATGTTTCTTTTTCATGTGCAGGGCAAAGGCAAAAATTAGATCCAACTTTCCTTACGATGAGAGTTATGGGATCTATATATCCTCAGCATCTCTAAGCATTGATATCTTTATATCTCTCCCCCCCCCCCCTCTCTCCTCTCTCTCCCTCTCTCTCTTCCTCTCCCTCTCTCGATCACACCCCCCCCTACTTTATTACTCTCCCTGTTTCTGTATATTTTGACTGTGCCCTTCCTTGGCAATAAATGTCACCATGTCCATGCACTTCTCTTATTTTAAAACTCAAAAGCTGTAAGGAGTGAAGACTCTGCCTTCTAGAGACCAGTAAACATGAGGTTTGAACACTGAAAATAAAAACTTGTTTAAAAAATGCATGAGGGGCTTTCTTTGGCTTGAGATAAGCAACGCACATCAAAAAAAAAGAAAAAAAGGGAAAACATTTTTAACCTGAAGGAAACGATGCAGATTCATTCTCTGTGAACCAAACCTCATTTTGACTGGAAGCAAATCAGTTGACATTTGTCATAGTTTCTTTACACACCCATAAACACTTAACAGCAAGCCCATTGGGTTCAAGAGAGAAAGAGAAAAGAAATGTACCTGAGACTGAGAGAAGCTGATGGGGCTGAGGCCAGCACCGATGGATGTGCGGTGGGCATTGGCATTGGACGTGATGGTGCCCACACTAGGAATACTGCCCGGGTTAATGGGCGCCGTCTGGGCTGCAGAGCCAAGAAAACATAATGACTGTCATTTAGTAAACTTGTCATTTTCCAGGGATTAATTTGTACTGAAGTTCAATGAAACGGCGGAGTTGTCTTGGAAAGGTAATGATGCAAAATCTCAACAATTCTTTACCATGGAGGTTTTCTTTTAATTTTAAGTTTCATGAGCTTTTGGTGTCACATCGCACACATTCATTTAATTTACTAGTTTAAACTTGAATGTTTCCTGTTAAACCTTCCATGTGATGAGGGCACCATTACTTTCCATCCACATACAAGTCCAAACAGAGCAATGAGAGTGACAGACAGACCGAGGTAGTGAAAAGAAAAAAATTAACATATACAGCAGTCTCCGTGTAAGATCCCAGTGCTCGGGAGCAAGGAAATGTGGGATCTTAGGCGAACCGGGATCTTAACTGACCAACACAGGGAAGAATCTATGGTGACCCATGTTAAGGCTCACAATCGGTAAAATGGTCTTCCTCCACTCTAAAAATGAACTGACAAAACCCCTTGGAGGGTTTATGCCATATGGCGAGCAAAGAGTGGTTAACATTAACATTGATGACCTATCACAGTGCACAGTGGCATGAGGCGCGCCATTTTCACTTATTATCCTATCATGAGTCTCAAGTTCTACGCTTATCCAGTTGCCCCTCCCCTTTACCTGTCAAAAATTTATAGCGTTCTATCTCTGACCGCCTTTGTCGTTACACACTATTGCGTTGTGAACATACCAATAAAAATTCAGTCTGTCTCGCAAATTCGGGAGTAGAGACAACTGCTACAATGGTCAGGGAAGAGTTCACAGTTCAATGTGATCCCATCTGAAGGGAACGTGTAGGCCCTACCCACTCAGCAAGTGATGTAAGTTTAGGGGGAGAGCTCAGGTGTGAGTGTGATGCGTGGGGAAAACAAACGTGTCGGTCAGTTCACACCCCGGTGTGATTCCGTCAGGGGCAAACATTGTATCGCTCAATGGAGTTTTACGTGTATGAGATCACATTCACGATAGTGGCTGATCTTTGACGCGACGGAAAGTTTACTGATCTCAATTTTTCACTCTTGGTTGATTGGCTGTGCCGGCCCGGGTTTTTGTTCCACAAATTATGATCTGAAATGCAGGATCTTAGCCGAATGTAGACCTTCAGAGTGAATCAGAGTGGGATCTTAGGGCCCCTAAACTTCGGGGTGACTTTTGTATAGTAAAAATTTTGTAGACCTGCATGTGAGCCTCAACCAGATTGTCTGAAAATTTTGCACAACA